GACCTAGTGTTTCTAGTGAGGGCATAACCGATTTTCAAGTGTAATAAGTATTCTCTCAAGTTATTCCAAGTCTTGTGGTGTTGTGGAAGCATTTTGAGGCACAACATTTGGGTGCTAGGCTCACAAAGTCTTTGAAGGAATCCAAGCAACAACAAGGTAATGTATTCTACTAGATTTTATGTTTTATGTAATCCCCATGCCATGCTAGTTAGGAAATAACCTTGAAAAAGAAATTTGCATGTATATAGAGAGAAAACATAGATTCTAGGTTATTAGGGTTGCATGTACACTTAGGAAGTGTTAGAATGCTCAAAACCCATCAATAAGTACATTATAAAAGTAGTATGATGAGTTGAACACTACGGGTAAGCCTTGGGATATTTAATTTGACCTTGAATAAATATAGCCTGATCAAATATATTTATCCGAGGTGTGACTAGCATGTGGTGAGAAATATTCGTAGTGAACGACGAGTCTAACACTTACCAACACTAAGATACCTAGAATCAAACGCAAACATTGAAAATACTATAGGAGTATTTTAGGATGCCATAGAACTACACCCTTAAAACCTCTACTTATTTCTTATACCTCTATTATTGCACAAACGACATGGATGAATTCCACCACAATAACCCCTACTACCCTGTCATGGGAGCCAACGGATGGATCGAGGAGGAGCCAGAAGAGGTTCACGAAGAGAACTTAGAAGTGGGTCCTAAAGAATACCAAGAAGTGGACTACGAAGGGGAGGACTCTGATGAGGAGTCAGACGATGATGAAGGCGTTGGAGAGATCCTTGGCGAGCCTTACCCTAATGGGAGCGGGCAAGAGACCATTTCACCTCCATCCTCCCAGGTACGTAAATAAGAGTCCTCTTGGGATGGAACATGCCTAATAAAAAAATATTGCCCATGTAAGGGCAAGTTTCGTCGCTGACATCTACTTTGTCTAGGATGCACCTCCACAAGAGGGAACTCAGCTACATGCCTGGACTAGAGGAGACGGTCAACGATCTGCATTAGGCACGCACCCACTACACCATGTCCCGGGCTCCAGCACCCTCACCAATCAAGCATCACCTCCAATCGTACCACAAGTGACCCGTCTAGACACCCAAGTTCGGGCTCTCCATCATGAAGTAATGGAGATTAGAGGCGAAGCCCGAAATGCGACAATACAAATTAGATTCCCCCACGAAGAACAAGAACACCATTCAGGAGCCATACTTAACCAGCAAGCAGAGCAAGAAAACCTTACAGATCGTCTACACTCTTTAGAGGAGGAAGTGGCCACCATGAGACAAGAACTGCTTGCAGCTGAAGCAAGGTCATCCCTAGCGGACCAGAGAGCAGAGGAGGCCACATGCGAAATGAGTGAAATGGCTGGGCACCTTGTGTGCCATTTTGGCCTATGAAAGACTGTATAGCCAAATGAGTTAGTGACTACACTACTCGCAATATGTCCTAGCTTTATTACATTGTTCATTACAACTAGTAGTAGCAAATCAAGAGAGGTACGCCCTCCAAACATCCATGTAACCCCCAGGATAACTTAATGTATCGATGACTATATACTATTTTGATAACTTAACGTTTGTACAATGCCCACTACTTGCCACCATAAGTACATTTTGATGATGTGATCGAAACTTTTGAGAATCATGCAAAAAAATAATGTCGTAACAAGGAAGTAACCCGCCTACCGGCGAAACACCAGTACTACAAATGGACCTCATTACATTTCAAGCCACCATAACGGCCGGTGTGTCAGCCGTCATGGCACAACTTAACACTATCAACTCAAATGGAAACAGGAGCGGTGCAGCAGTACCAACCCCAGTAGCAACCAAGGAAACTAGCAGGTGTGTTCCTGCAAGGACACCCCAAATCACAAACCCAGGAACTCCTAAGACAATGGAAACGTAACACCCAAAAAGTGAAAATTTTGGACCAAGAGAAGGAGTTGTCCAACCCAACGACCTGCCAAAAGGCAAAAAATTGTGGCAGATTGTGCCACCACTATCCCTACTAACTCTGTGCTGACAAAACCATATGCGGGGAAACTGCCTAGATGCAAAAAATGTAACTTCCATCACCAAGGATCCTGTCGAGAGATGCAATGCAAAAATTGCAACAGAAAGGGGCACACCGCCCGTTTCTGTAGGACACCAGCACAACCAATCACCCAAATCCCCTACATTGGAGGAAGCCTGGCTTGTTACAAGTGTGGCGACACTGGGCATTTCAAGAGGGAGTGTCCAAGCGCTAGAGGCATGAATGCTCATAGTAACGAAAGAGTACTCATGATTACCACAGAAAAGACTCTCCCAGAACCATCAATGGTTATCGGTACGTTTTCAGACAACAACATTTAAGCCTCGAATTTTTCCACTAAAACTAGTGTCCATTTAAAGTTTTATCAACTATAGATCTCGAAACGCGACAAATCAAAGTGATAAATTTCCCCCTCAACATAATAAATCATATCGTCCATATCAAAACTAAGGATTCTTACTGGATATCTATGATGGCCTGATGTAAACAAAAGGGTCATATATAATTAAGATTCTACAGAATTAGAACGTGTGGTTCCGCCTTATTTTCTGTTCCTTGTCTGGTTGTGGACTTACGACAGGGTTACTCATTCGACTTCCTTTTCGATCTTAATTATATACGACTAGTTTACACCAAGCGATTGTAGAGGGGCCTTGTAGGAATCACACTACGAGATTTCATCACTATTTATCGGAGCACTCATACCGCTAGTACTCACTAGTTACGATACAAAAATATTCTCCATAGTAATAACAAGGATAAAAATTGGATGTATTAAATACATATACATAGAATACACTATCGTTCTAAGAAATCACCCTCTTCCTAATCAACTTAACACCTGTTACAATAAGAAATTCCAAGGTCGTCGTTTGACATGGATTCGCCCTGGTCCTCACCATACCAATTTCATGTGCCACAAGGAGACCCTTCGTCTTAACCGACTAATTAGCGAAACCCTTTCAACCTATAACGACAAATCCTCGAATCATCCCTGACATCTAGACTCATAAGTACCTATGCAAGAGGTACCACACCCTTTCTAGGCCACAATAGCAAAAGACATCAAGGGTATCCCAGAGGTTTATAAACTTCCCAAAGTATGCCCAAAAGTTCTTTCTGAAATACCACCCATGTGCCAAGTTGCGTTCGGAATCGACTCGACTCTTGTAGCCATCCTCGTAGCCAAATCCCCAATACCACATAGCACCAACAAAAATACAGAAATTGTCCGGTCGATGGAACGACCTAATAAGTAAGGAAATTATCAGACTGAGCCTCTCACCTCGGAGAAGCGGCAATATTGCTCATGAAGAAGAAGGGCAAATTGTCCACATGACCATTGACTACCAAAAGCCGAACCAACCCACCATCAAGGGTCAATATCCTCCATTCCGACTCGATGACCTAACCACCCAAATTTAAAGAAACAAAAGAAGGGTCGACATACCACTAGCTCAGAATTCTGTTGGAAGAAACTTCTGTGACAACCCGAAATCTCTATCTTGTAAGTCAATCAAATCAATAAAAAGTCAGACTTGTTTATGTTATCTTTTTGTTGTGTTAAGGGTCAGTTTATGAGTTTCTAAGCCTTGTACACTTAAGGGTCGTGTGTTAGGAAGTGTTGGCTTGAGATCAGTAGACTGCATTCGAGCCAGGAACCCCTTCAAAAGAGGTTCACGACCACAAACTAGGTTCACGGTCGTGAACCCATCTTTGGCCGTGAACTCATGCCATATATATGAGTTTTGCCCACTTTTCTCATCACTTCTTCATCTCCTAGCCGTGAACTCCAACTTTTCTCTCAACTATCATCAATTGTGATCTCTTCTAAGGCCTCAAAAGTGTAAGAAACTCATCCCTCTCTTGTTGTTACTTCGAAGCCTTTGTTTCCACCTCTTAATTCATCACTTTGCTTCAAGATCTTCAAGATCTTCTTAGGTCGTGAACCACTCAAGGGTCGTGAACCCTTCTTCTTGGTCGTGAACCCTTCAAATCTTCATCATTCGGGCCGTAAACACTTCAAGTGACCGTGAACACCTCATCAGCCTTCCACTTTCGGTTCTAACACTTCATTGTAAGTGTTCCATACTTCCTAAATAGGATCTGTTTGTGCTCGGGACTTCACTAGTGGAAGCAATCATCCAATATCGATCTTTCGTTCGAGTCACTCACTCTAGGTGACCTAATACCCCTACAATCAACCTTTACATGTTTTAAATACTTTCTAGGGGGGGGGGGGGGGGGGGGGGGGGAATACAAGTCGTAACACAGTAGAATTGTGTTATTATCTACATTTGAACGCTTGCAAACAAAGGACTGTACCACTTTTCAAACATTGTTAAACATCATTTTCAAAACCCTTTTCAAACTACTTTCAAACTCCCACTACTAGAAAAACAGCCTTTTACGACGCGCAATGCGTGTCGTAAAACGCTCAGACGACGCGCAAATGCGTGTCAAGGAAGGCCCTTTCATAACGAGAGATGACACGTTTTTGCGCGTCGTCTAAAGACGACGCGCATTTACGACGCGCATTTATGACACACAATGCGTATCATTAAAACCCCTGTCAAGAAAGGCCATGTCATAAACGAAGATGACACACATTTTTGCGTATCGTAAATTTAAATGTTGAAAAAAATATATTTATATATTTATTAATTTTTAAATTAAATTTGCATATAATGTCTCATAATAGAAATAAAATACCATATAAAAAAAATACAATCCATTGCATAATATAAAATAAAATTTCATACACAAAAAATAAATAAATTGCACAAATTATAATATGTCATACAAATAATCATTCAAATGTTAAACAAGAATAATAAATTGCTAACATGGGTTATACATTCCTATAAGACTAACAAATAAACATCCAACTCTGTTTCTTACTGGAATATGTGTGTAATTGTCTCCGATTTTCCTTCAAGTGATTTAACAAACTATGTGGGGATCAAGCTTCCCACTGCAATAGCTTGAAGTAACAACCAAAAGTTGTTGCCTCCGTTTCCATTCCTCTCCAAGTTTCAATGTAATTGGGTATTCCACTGTTGCAGCCTCCACACAAAGCATATGCTTGTATTCATCATCTCCAAAATCAGGCATAGCCTTCGCCTTCTTATCCCATGGATTCCAAACCCCTACAATATATATATATATATATATATATATATATATATATATATATATATACATATATATATATATATATATATATATATATATATATATATCATTTCATTACCCATGCAAACAAAGTTTTCCAAAAAAATTTAAAATTTTTGCACATTGTTGTTATTGTCTCAACAGTCAGAGTATGAGTTTCAATTCCATTGTGGAAAATTTTCATGATCTTACCAGCATCAGGAAGGCCATCTTTCCGAATGACAATTGTACGTTTCTTTTCATGATCAGTGATTGCAATCTTTGTTGGTGTTCTCAGGTAAACCCTATGTAGTCAATAGCGGCGCTATAGCGGTTAGCGGAGGTAAGGAAACGCTATTTCAGAATAGCGGTTTAGAATAGCGGTGGCGCTATTAGCGCCGCGATTTACCGCTATTTACCGCGATTATGGTCACCGCTATAGCGGCGCTATAACCGCTATTTGAATAAATTCCATTTTTGGGCTATTTTACATAAAAAAAAAACATTTTTTGTGTCATTCCATTGAATAAAATTATTTTTTCTTAGCCAAAACCAAAACTTTTGTGTCATTCCATTGAATAAAATTGTAATTTTGTGACTGTCATGACATCCATAGAAACCATGTGTGTGTTGTCTTGTTAATTGTGTTGAAAACTTGAAGTACTACATTATGATTAACTATCAAATTGCTTAATCATTTAATTTGATAACTATAATTGTGTTGAAGTATGAGAAAATAGTAAGTATTGCATATGTTATCTTGTTAATTGTGTTAAAGTATGACTAACTGGGGCATTGGTAACCGATCTGTGAAGTATAATTAACTAATTATGATATGTGAAGTATGATTAACGAAATATGATATGTGAATTATGATTTACTGATTAACTAATTAACTGGATTGGGTTGAACTTTAAAGTATGATTTACTGATTAATACTCTAATATATATATATATATATATATATATATATATATATATATATATAGGGCTAGGTTATTTTGTTTCTTATATTTATTGTGTGCTAAAATGCACCAATAGAAATTTAGTAAATTAAATAATTATTTAATTAAATAAATATAGATATAAAATGATTTCCATAATTATATGTATATTAAATGCTATCCATAATTATAATTCTCTTTTTATGGAAACTAATTAAATTCGTTATTAATGTCAGCAATAACATTCTTTCAGAATAAATTCGCATCTAGGTTTTTATATATGAGTTCGTATTTTGTTTCAGGACTCACTCACTTAAAATACAATAAAGTTGCATGAAATATGAAGAACGGGAGTGTATTCTACTAGAATACACTCTGATTCTGCTGGAATACACTCTCATTCTTCTAGATATGAATTCATTCTAAAAGAATATTATTGTTGACATTAATGACGAATTTAATTAGTTTCCATAAAAATGAATTGTAAGTATGGATAACATTTAATATACATATAATTAATACTAAATTCTTATTGGTGCATTCTAGCACACAATAGATGTGAGAAACATTTGAACCTACCTCTCTCTCTCTCTCTCTCTCTCTATATTCTATATATATATATATATATATATATATATATATATATATAGATATATATATATATATATATATATATTCTAAATAATATAAAAAACGCTATATCACCGCTATACCGCCGCGAAAACCGCGATTTCAAATAGCGGCCGGTGACCGCTATTATATTTTTTACCGCGATAACTGCTTAGGGTAAACCTTGTCAATCTGATAATAAATAACCCTACATAAGCCTCTAACAACGGAAAAGAGTGTCCAAAAAAGAGTTTAAAGAAACAAAAATCATTACTTCTGATTCAAAAGTTATTGTTGTTGGATTAATCGGTTCGGTTGTCATCGGTTCACCCGTTATATGCATGATTGGAACTTCAGTTTTAATGAGTAATAAAGAAAAATGAATAAGAAACTGGATTTGAGGAGCATAACCTTTACCTATTTATGAAGTCTATTCTCTGTGAAATTTGTTTTAACTTGATGATCCCAAATTGGTCCTGCAATGAAATGTCATGTATCAGATATTGGCTTTGTGCAATCAAAAGAAACAAGATTTAGCAGGTAGGTACCTGATTACCCCTCCTGATGTCAGGATGAAGGACAGGGGTGGTTGTTCCCATTGGCTGGTAGTGATAAGACAAATCATACTTACCATGTCAAGAGAGGACATGCTCTCCAAGCTGCAAACAGAAAGTACACCCATCTCCAATAGAACAGGGAATGCCCCAAGAAACTTGAAACTTTATGTACATCCCGCATCCAAATAAACTACCGCACCTTATTACATTTATAATTTTAATGATAATCAAGATAAGAGGGAATTTTTATTTTATTGAACATCCATATATACTTACCCATTTGTCAACCAAGTCTTTAGCAAGCTTTCTATTGGATGTGGTCTCTTCATCAAATTTTGACAAGAACATAATACCCTTTCCAAGCCCACTTTTCTTTAATTGCTCTCTTCTATCATATTGATCTAAATCAATTGGGAACTGGAGGATAAGAACAACTAATAATTAGTTATAACAACATAAAAAGGCATATAATTAATCCTGGTTGATTCTATACCTACCTCTGTTAGGATCTTCAATATTTCTGCACAAATGTTTATATTGGGCAAGCTTCCATCCGGAAGGGGTTCAAGCCAATTTTTCAAAAGAGTTAGAACTCCATGATCTAGAAACTCTAATTGAAGTTGTTTCCTGCATTAAGAATTTAAAAAGGTAAATGATATAAACAATACTATGTAACAGATGTTTGACTTTTGCAAATAAAAGACTTTACTTAGATAGTACTTTAGTTAGAAGTGGCAACTTTCTGTGTTTATTAATAGCTGGTTTTGATTGTCTGTTTAGCTCTGCATCTTCTTCTGCTACAACTTCAAGTTCAGCCATCACATTTTTAACAAGTAATGCAATCTCTAAAGCACTTTTCTCGGTCTTCTTCTTCTTCTTACCCATCTTCAACATGTCCAATTCTTATCCACAAGAAGATTTGAAGACTTCAAATCACGGTGAATAGTCGGTGGGTTGCAATGATGAAGACAATTCATGCCTCGTGCCTTGACAGAATCACAAATAAGACAAACAAATCAAAAGAAATATGGAAAAGATGATAATTAGCACGCTTGATGCTACTTACGAAAATAATAGTTACCTCCTGTTTAAATGATACCATCAAATCCTCTGGATACTCTTGATATTCAAATAACTTGATCGCAACATCCTATATACATAAATTGAAATTTTATATTCTCTTTCTATTCATTTCTTAAATAATATAAAAGAATTTGGGTAATTTACTCTATAAATTATAATCGAGTGAGAGATGGAGAACATACTGATCCATACCACAGTGCACGATGTACAGTCCTTTTGTCCAGGCCACCCCCAAATAATATAAAAGCATTTGAAGACTTCCAAGCCACCCCTAAATTTGGTAAAATTTCATTCAACCTATATATATATATATATATATATATATATATATATATATATATATATATATTATATATATATATATATATATATATACATATAAAAAATATCATGGTATATTTATATTTTTACATACATAGATTTATTTATACCCAATTAAAAAAACTTTACCTGTCCAAGTGTTTCCTTTTGTCCAGGTAGCAAAGCATCCCTTTTTTCAAACAAAAAACAGAATCAATATTTATCATCATCTACAATTATCCACATAAGAAAAATGTTAAAACTAACTTACAAGATTATAGCTAATGCAAGCGAGCTACTTTGAGAGAGTTACCACTTTTGATATCTTCTTATTAATACACACATGCACCTGTCATCTTCTGCCAATTTCCCACAGACACTAACATAAATTAGATTATATAAAAATTAAATAAAAAACCAAGCTGATTAATAGAGATATAATTATTTAAAACCTTTGATCCATCACCAATTATAGATTGTTTGTTAGGAATGACATTTTTACCCCTCTCTTCAACCTTATACTACTCATAGTCCAAAGGAACATGAAATTAGTAGTAGAATGAACTAAAGTGGAAATAGCATAGCATACTTTCAACTATTGAAATCACATGATTACCCTGCCATCTTCCTTGATGTTCCCGTCTCCTACAACACTTAGGAGTCAAATAAATGAGCATTTCCCCCTTCAAATGTTAAACATATGATACACAAATTGAATGTACCTGTGTCTTAGTGACTTTTCAACCTTCTTATTAAACATTTCATTAAGTAAGCATTTAGCTTTTGACGCACCATCAGTAACAAAATGCACAGGCAAGTCAAGGCAAAACTTAGATAAAGAAAGATGAAGTGGCACGTGAGCTAATGGTGGTATTAGACCTGAAATGTAATAATAATTATTATATGTATATATAACACATGGCAATATAACATCCTGCAAAAAAACGGCTCTTGTAGACAAGTGAACTGATATCCAAAAGCAAAGCCTCTGTAAAGCAAATCCCACTACTCCCATAACAACATTTCTGCAACAGAACAGATACGAATAAGATGATGCTACTGGAAAGGTGGAGGATAATGAAAATCATAACATGACATCATCATCACCCTGCCAAAAGGCCCACCAACTTCAAAGTTCAAACCCCAATCTTGCAATTTCAATCTTTTATACGGATTTGTAAAAGCCTAAACCCGAGTCCATGAGTCTGGATTAGAACCCAGAATGACCACCTGAGGATTGATCTACCACATCTGCGAGTTCCCAGAATCTAGGGTTTAATATTCTATTCTCAAAACATATGTTCAATATTATCAATACAAGCAGAAAGTAAAGAGACCACAATAACATAGAAAAATACCTGCTTTTTTTTTGAAAGAGCAAAGGACCGAGAATTTTGAGGAATTGTAAGTCTTGGGACGGAATCGATCAAGAACGTCTGTGAATTTCGGCACATAAATGTACCTATACAAAATTCTGAAAGGTAAGGATGATGACGATGCGCTGGCTGTGAGCATACGCGAGCAATAGAAACGGGAAAATGAAGGCTGAGAAATTAGGTCTAGCCAGTGTTTGCAAACACATTTGAACCTAAAATTGATTTCAGGGGCAATCTTGCGAGGATTTCGAGAAGGAGAGACTCAGTGAGGTTTTGAATATCGTATGAGAACGTATGAGCAAGGAGAACAAGCCCTAGAACTGATGATTCGGAAAGAGGGTTTACTTGTGTTGAATCGATTGATGTGATTACCTGAGATTGAGAGTGTTTTCTCTTTCTTGAATAGGTGATGATCTGATGACGGTGGCTTGGAAATGAGTTCTGATCACCATCATCATCGATGTGATTGTCGATTTGATTGATTGAATTGTTGGGTTCCATTTAGCGGTGGTTTGAGGTTGGAAATGGAAATGGAAAGAGCCACCAAGGAGATTGGGGAGCGGAAGAAGAGAGAATCAGAGAATTTCGAAGTGTGGATTGAGTTTTTAGGGTTCAATTTCAACTCAATTAGTAAAGAGTCCAAAACGATTACACGTCCCTGTACCTCACTCAATAATCAAAACCATAGAAATTCACGTCGCCGGCTCCATAGCGCCATAATCATGCCGAGATTCAGAATCGTATACGTTTGATGTTTACAAATCTGTTGTTGAACCCTGAAGAATCGACCTAGGTATTCCCACCGTTGAAGATGAAGATGAAGGCCCTAAGGATTTTTCTTGAGGCGGGGGGATTAATTTTTTGGATCCAATAGGCGGGGGTAATGTTCGTCAATTTCATTTCCCGCCTAAAACGCGTGTTTCACTTAAAAATTATAAAGCGACACATTTACATGACGCACATTTTATGAAAGGCGCCCTCCGCATTTCTTTTTTTTTTCTTTTCTGACGCTAATTTTAGGGCGCGCACAAATGCGTGTCCTCTATCCTTCAAATTTTGCAAAACTGACATTATTTTTTAGGGCACGTACAAATGCGCGTCCTCCATCTGCGAGTGTCATTATTTGTGCGTCATTAAAGGGTTGTTTTCTTGTAGTGTCCTTTACTTTCAAAACCATATTCATTTATTTATTTGTGTATATGTATGCTTTAATGGACTTAGGATTATTGTTAATGACCTTGACTCCTGTTCCTTGTTTGGTTGTGGGCTTAGGGTAGGATTCACTAGTCCGACTGCCGATTAACTTATGATTATACATGCTAAATACATATATGAATATTAAATCTCATTTTTAAAGTTATACTTAACTCAATTGTACATGTTGAGCAATTGAGTCTTTCCTACAAGTCAGTTACAAAACAAACATGCTATGTAAACTATAATAGGTATAGTTTAGAGAACATACATACATATACATATACAAGAACAAGAAGGAACACTATACATATACATTTGCAAGAGTAACATACATTTACAAAAGGAACATATACATTTACAAAAGGAACATACACATACATTTACAAGAGACAGAAGAAACATACACACTATACATGTACATGACAAATAAAATGTGAGATACTACTTCATGGCATAGCAATACTTTTGTTGTGTCACGTTTTGTAACCAGAGTCTCCTGGAGGGAGAGAGTGAGTTTTTGTATAGATCTATACGGGATTGACCACCCCACACCTCGCTGCTAGCTACAGTGGGACCTGCAGGTCTACGAGTGACAAATGTCATATCATTTTCGACGTCTGATGAGCATCGTGTTTTACACTAGGTCGATCAAGCATGGTTATAACCTCAATCACATTTTAACCTTAATTAACCAACACGGTTACAAGGTAGTAAACTATCAATAGAGTATTTTAACTTAATACAACTACTCATCTTCAATTTTCCATGACTTTATACAGTGATATTCTCACAAAAGAAATGCATACTATTTTTCTAAGTAAAAGATAGCTACTAATATTGAAAACATACTTTTATACAGTTATGAAGTACAAACATACATTTCATACTATTTCAAGTACAAACACTTCATTTTTACAAAGAGAACAAACATACAAACAGTCGGGTCTTGGGTAAAAGACTGCATTTCATTTAAAAGGAGAAAATATAGGATTTTCTGGGAAAGTAAACAAACATTTTCATGATACAAATACAAACATGTTACTATGTAGATACAAAAAATTTTACTATACAAATGAAAACAAATGACATTAAATACTTATGAACTCACCAACATTTTATGTTGACACTCTCTTTCAAAATAACTTGTATTCTTAGGGAACCAGTAGACAGGTACACTCGTTCAGCTTTTGAGAAGACGGAGTGGATTCCAACTCGTCTTTTATTTTGATAATACATTTTTGGTGTCATTTAAAATTTATAAAGAACACACATGTATTTAACGATATTATTAATGCAATGGATGTTGTTGCTTGTTTTACTATTGTACATGGTTATGATACTGTACATGAAGTCCTCCACCCCGAATGTTTCCGCCAATTCGGTTTGGTGGTGTGACAGATTGGTATCAGAGCATTATTTATAGTGAACTAAGTATATCAACCCATAAAATATATACAAATATAAATATAATGGGATTAAAACACTCGGACCAAGAGTTATACTTTTAATATATAAAAAGTATTTTACTAAAAGTATACGTACATGCATTCATACTAAGATCAGTATCATACTAGAACAGAACAAAAGTATTGTTATTGTTGAACAGCACAAGTAGGCTTGGGGATATATTGTCAGGTCTGGGATAGACATAGCCTGATCAACTATGTCTATCCGAGAAGTGGTTAGCATATGCCTAGGAGTGCTTGTAGTGTTGCAACAAGTCTAAAAACTTACCAACTCTATCCACCAAGACAACGCTAGAACATAAACCAAACATTTAAAATACTATAGAAGTATTTTGTGGTACTATAATTAACTTATGTGAGAACTAAAGAACCTTATTAGTAGGTCTATAATTATTGAGGGGATACGCTAAGGTTATATATAATCAAAGATTCTATAGACTCAGAATCTGTGACTATCGCTTTACTTCCTGTTCCTTGTTTGGTTGTGGACTTAGAGTTGGGTCACTTATTCGATGGTCTATTCTATCTCTGATTATATATAACTGGTATGCCTTACGTAGTTATAGAAGTATCGGATGAGGATCACCCCCTATAAGTATTAATAGGTTATACGTCTATTAATTGTCTCTTATACCCCTATTCTCGCGTAGAAATCATGGCTGGATTTCATCATCCTAGAGATCCGTACTTTCCTAACCAAGGGAATGGAGGTTGGCTAGAGGCCGAACCAGAGGAAGAGTTCGAGGAGGAAATGCAAGAAGGTTCTGACTCAGAGTCTGAAGTCAATAATCTACCCTTAGTGGCTCCGATCCCAAATCCTAACCCTCGACCTGAATTTCAAGGCCCAACACCTCCGTGGACAGTGAACTTGAATAGGTGGAGCCATGAACAAGGTCAACCCCCTCAGTACAATGGAGACTGCAGCTTCTACAATCTGAGCGAGGGAGGCTCAGCAGACAGAGTTCTTCCACTCTTGGTTCGCCGAGATGCTCGCAACGATGAGCAAGGAAAGGCAGCCATTAATCAAACTGTGGAGCTAGATGCGAACACCGGATCCAATACAGTTCGTATTCGCCAGCTTGAATTAGCTCATGGAAGAGCTATGAGACACAATGAGGCTCTGCAGCGAGAACTAACTGCAACTCAAGATGAAGTCAGAGAACTTCGAGCACGCTAGGCAATGTTTGAAAGACGTATGCTCGAAATGGAGCGTCAGTTGGCATAATCAAGGGCTCATCTGAGCGGTTCCCGTCACAAGTAGAGGGCACTCTACTCATCCTTCTTTTGGGTTAAGGAATATCCTCCGTTTATGCTCTAAGTAGCACTCTTTCATGTAAATATTCTTGTCTAGCAAGTACTGTTTCACTAGATCTATATGTTTTCAAGTTTTCCCGCTGTTGGTATATTGTAGACCTACTCTAAGGTCAAATTTTCCGAACTCTATGTATCTATTATACCAACTGCAATGACAGACATCTTGTTTCCTTTAAAGATCATCACTATAAAATCTATTCTAGTTCAATATTATTCAACTTGGTAACTCTATCGAAATCTTATCACCGTTTCATCTTTAAACCTATAGCTGAAAAATGCCGCCTCGAAAACGTTCCAACAGAAATCCTCCAATTACTTCAACTCCTCTACCACCTCCACCGCAGTTTGATGCTGCAATGTTCCAAGCTGCAGTGACTGTGGCTGTAACCGCAACCTTGACGCAAATAAACTCTGGTGGCACTAGCGGAGGTGGAACGGGTGTTAACTCTACCCAAGGTGACAATCATGCACGTTCAAGGGAGTGCACCTTCAAGGACTTCACCAACTGCAAGCTCAGAGCCTTCAACGGAGCCAAGGGAATCATTGCTCTCTCGCAATGGTTTGAAAAGACGAAGTCGATCTTTGAGATCTGCTCCTGCCCAGAAGGAAGCAAAGTAAAATTTGTTGCTTGTACCTTCTCTGATAGAGCCCTTACATGGTGGAACGGCCATGTCAAGTCACTCACTCTGGTAGTGGCTAACGATATGGGTTGGGATACACTGAAGGACCTTATGTCAGCGGAGTACTGCCCCAGGGGCGAAGTTCAGAAGCTCGAGCTACAGCTTTGGGGCCTTAAGATGAAAGGTTCAGATATAGTGGCCTATACGACTAGGTTCAGTGATCTGGTGGCCCTATGTCCAAGTATGGTCCCCACGGAGAGCAAAAAGATTGAGAGATACATCTGGGGGCTGGTACCTCCGTTTCAGGGGAACGTTTTGTCTTCTAACCCCTCTATATTTGACAGTGCCAAGCGGCTGGCATAGAGACTTATCGACCACGGAGTCCATCCGCAAACAACAACTACCCCTATTGTCCCAGAACCAGCCAAAACGATCGACAATAAGAGGAAGTTTTGGGACAGGAAGAAAAGCCAAGCAGCACAACCCTCTGCCAAGAAACAACAGGTTGTGGTTGTTCATGTCGCTAGAACCCCTGCTGCCCCTCCTCCAGTAAAGAAATATGAGGGGCGTCTACCAAAGTGCAACAAGTGCAATTTCCACCACACCAGACCCTGCCAGGAAATGCACTGTGTCAACTGCGATAGGAAGGGGCACACTACCCGTTTCTGCAAGGCATCGGCTAGGCCAATCACCCAGGTCCCTGGAATAGGAGCAACTCAGGTCTGCTATGGGTGTGGCAAAATGGGGCACTACAAAGGGAATTGCCCTAAGTCAAGGAATAATGGTGGAGCGGGAAGACTACTTACTTTTGGTCACGAAGAAGCCGTGGCAGACCCTACGGTGGTCACGGGTACGTTTCTCCTCAATAACTCATATGTATGCATACTATTTGATAGTGGAGCTG